TTTATACGTCTTTTGTGAAATTTGAAAATCAATTAGCCAATATTTTCACAAAGGGACTTATAATAAGATTTTTCACCATGTTTGCAAGTTGGGCATGAGGGATTATCCACGCACCAACTTGAGAGGGAATGTTATGCTATGTATTATTTCTAGAATAAGGGTATTTTATATATATATATAAACAATGTGCAGCTGTGTAACCTAACACAATACCCAATTCTGATTTGTTTTTCTTATTCATCTCTCTCTCTATGAAACCCTTACAACTTTACAATTAACTAGATCTTATATACCAAATTGTAATCTCCATAAGATGTGACAATCTGCATTGAGGTTACATTCTTCAAAGTTTTCTAAGCAAAGGCATAGGTTCATTAAAAGATAAACAAATTGAGAAAAGGTAGGTGTTATTGAAAGGATAAACACCTTCTGCCATGTTCTGCTCAATTGTTACAATACAACATCTAAACTCAATAACAAAAAAAAATCCAAGTATATTTCATTATTTTCATCGAGTCCCAATGTCAACAGCCAATGTGGTCAACCATGTATATTTAAAGTCATAAACCTTGGAATCTATTCCACTTGGCGATACATGATAATAGGATCAAAACAGATGGAAACTCATCCCCGTAGCCACCAAGTGATACACTGTTGGTAACATTCTTGCCTTTTTACTGAGTTGTACTCTTGAGATATTGTTAACATTAAACCTAAACCAGACTTCTCCAAGTTCAAAAACTTAAAATGATGACAATAGACATAACACTTGGTGGAGGGGAATAAAAATGTAGTTGATCACTTCAGAGGATTAGATATTCTCCCACCCAAAAGGGGGGAGTGGTAATACAATTCTGCCATCTCCGATCAGATATTGGTACCTGTTACACAAATACCCTGAGTCTCACCTGAATCGGTGTTAACTCTATGACAACTCGAATGTATTAGCTCAATTTAGAGTCAACTCGTTAGACTCGGCAAGTCACACCAAAATTGTTCTAATACCATGAAAACTAATACAAAATCTCTAAAATCTTAAATGTGAAAAAGGTCAAAGACAAATGGATATGGAGAAAAACCCCACATGAAAATCTGCAAATTTCAACCCTAAAGCAGAGAAATTTACATCCAACTATGTAGAATAAACACCTTCCGCAATATAACCAAAAGGATGAGTAAAATCAAAGACAGAGGGTCACCTCTTCATATTCCTTTTCTTTCTTCTACGGAAAGCGGTAGCAGAGGCCCAGATGGAGGACCTGGGAAGAATGCTAGTGATCGACAGTGCAACTCGAGTGTTAGAAGACATCAACGCCTTCTCTCTCTCTCTCTCTAAAGGATGAGTGAGTCTAAAAGACTATTCTTGTGAGTGACTCTCTATTCCTGTGAGTGACTCTCTTTTGTTTAGGTCGTCTTAAAAGACTTCCTTCTAGAGTTTTCTTTTTAAATTAGTTTGTAAGGTTTTTTTATTACTTTGGGTGCATAAAAGATCCTACCTATTTGTATTTTTAAAATTTTTTCGATATTTAAATTTAAATGAAAATATTTCCAATGGCATCACTATATTTTACCTTTCTATTTTTTTAATGTGTTAGATGACTTGTTTTGGGCATATGTCACATAAATGTTTTGTTTCATTTTTCATAAGTTTCCATTATTCTTTAAAAATATTTTGGGTATTTTAGCTAGACTTTTGTACACATTGTCCAGTACCGTGTTGCAACGCTGCAACTGACGTATATTAGTACCCATCGAGTTGGTGACCTATACCACGACCATGAACCATATCCAGGATTTAGTTGGCTCCACAATTGGGCCTGCACGAGTCATGGTATTTTTGGAATCCATACTCTATATGTCCCATCAGGGTGTTATCATCATCTGACCATAAAAGCACTCTGACAAACATAGCTCAACTACTAATCGAGGACCAGACGTTCCTCCAAACAAGGGTCAAGCCTAAAACCTAGACTTTGGACTCCATAGAATGGTTGATAATATGCAAGGTAGCTATCTAGGAAGCACAGATACTCCAACGAGGGTCGACATGGCAGTTTCGAACACATGTCCAAAACGGATATGCGCGGGACACGGCCGGATACGTGTTCGACACTTGAGAGTGTCCTGAATAGAAAAAAAAAATCCAAATACGGGAGAGATACGATACCTTACCAGCTCATCTCTTCATCGATCTCTGCTTTACCAGACATAGTCAAGTATGTCTTCTTCGAAGCTCTTCCTCTTCTTTTCTTCTTCTCTTGTTCTTTTAATTCTGTTAGAGTTACAATCTAGTTATTAGGATGTTTAGCTTTTATCTATTTTGCCTTTACTATAATTTTTATGTCTTACCCAGACAAGAGGGGTGATCTAGTCAATTGCACTCTTATTTGGGTATGCCGGGCACTACACTCAGTTTGTGCATCCTCTTACTCCCAATAATTCTAGTTGGTATCAGAGCTTGGCTAAACCCTGGCCTTCCCTAACCCTAACCCTAGCCGCCAAACCCTAGCCTTCCCCACCAACACCGCCACCCCTTCCTGCTAGCGCCGCCACCTCTTCCTGCTAGCGACAGCCACTCCTTCCCACTAGCACCACCTCCACGTCGTTGGTTTCTCTTTTCCCTACGGTCAAAGCACCTAGGAACTTTTAGAGGGGTCAAATCCCCCCGTTAATCTACTTTTAATGTAGTGGATCACCTATATATTTTTTCTAGATTTTTTGGCGCTATGACCTGTTATTTGGGAGCTTTCTAGACCTCTTCTACTATTATTATTCAACTCGAGGTATATTGTCTTCCCTTGTTCAACTCTATTTTAAAGTAATTTCTGTCACGGTTACCTCATTACTATTGTTACTATGGCCACTGGTGAGGGACTTAAGAGCTCTACCAATGGTAATTTTACTGAGAAAGTACCGACCACTTCTGCAAAGATTACTCATTCCACCTTTATGTTTAACTGGTAGACAGTACCTACTAGCACAGTTACATTACCGGCGATACCAGGTATGGTCTCTCAGAAGGTTACGACATAGTTATTGGATGGCCATAACTTTGTTGAGCAGTCATGCTCGTTTCTGCTCTTTTTGGGGCGTATTGGGAAGCTTGGTTGACTGACCGGATTGCACCCAAAGTCAGTTGATGATGATCCTGGATATTCTGTGTGATTCTCCGAAAACTACGCTATTATTGGATGGTTATTTGAATCAATGGAGCCATCTATTTACAGGATTCGTTAATTCAATAACTTTGTTCCGAAGCAATAGAGTGCATTATTAAAGATATACTCATAGTCTAGTCGCACTATTCATGTTTATGAGCTTTCTCAAGAGCTCTCGTATGCTCAACGGGGAGATATGACAGTTCAGAGCTACTATGACTATTTGACTTAGCACTAGCATGAATATGAGACTCTACGTCCTCGTGCTACTATTCCAAGGATAGAACCTGAGGGAATGGCATTTATGCCTACTCGAGAGCAGGAGAATAGGATTCACAAGTTCCTTATGGGGCTTCGTGATAAGTTTGAGAGATCTCGTTCCCAGATACTATCGATGTTGAGGCTTCCTTCTCTTTATGAGGTTTGTCTAATGATTGAACAACGTGAGCGTCGCATCCGTATTGCATCACTTCCAGTTACAACCTTGACTCTTTAGGCCGACCAGATAGCCCTTGCAGCTGCTACGGGATCTCACTTAAGACCCCCGGCCAAGGGTGGACAACGTTCAGACCAACACCAATTGGGCGCTCCAAACCAGCGCAGACTGGGCAATTCTTGCTAATGTAATTATTGTGGCCGACCAGTGTATCTCAGGACTGCTTGCTAAAAACTCCACCCCGAGCTTAAGTCGTCTCATCTTACTTCTCGAGGCCATACTGATGTTATTGTTGAGGGACCATCACCTACTATTGTTGCCCCTTCTACTCCTCCTCCTCCTTGACAAAGCGTTATAGATGCTATCACTTCCAGATTAGATATGCTTATGTCTGCCATGACTTTTCGAAGTCCTACATCTGCTGCTACGACCACTACAGGAATATCTCGTGCCTTCCATGCTAACACTGGTCCTTCTCCTCTTTGGATGCTAGACTTGAGTGCAAATTATCACATGGCAAGTAAGGCTCATCACTTCACTATTATCAATGAGCAGTTACACATACAAGTTCAATTAGTAGATGGGACATATGTCCCTATTATTAGTAAGGGTACAGTTTTCTTCCAGATGGTCTTACGTTACATTTTGTTTTTCATACACTAAAGTTAGCCAAGAATCTATTATCTATACATCAGTTAACTAGAGATTTTTGTTATGCAGTAGTGTTCTTATCTGACTCTTATTATTTGTAAGACCTGAGTACCAGGAGGATTATTATCAAGGGACATGAGATAGATAGGTTGTACTATCTAGGCGATCCACCTCCAGTTCTTCCGCTGATTTCAACTGCTTTATCTTTATCTGTTCCTATCTTACATGCTAGTATTTTATCTAGTACTTGTCGTTAAGATTTTTTGTCACATACTAGTCAGTTGTGGCATGACCATTTTGGGCATACAAACTTTTAAGTATTTATGTATGTTATTTCTTACTTTGAACAATGTTTGTGCTAATGGTAGACTTGACTATTTTATATGTTCACTATCTAAACATGTTCGGACCAATTACATTACTCGCATACGCCAGTCTTCTAGGTCATTTGACCCAGTGTTATGAAAAGCGCGCCTAGGCGAGAAGCGAGGCGAGGCGAGACTTGCTCGCCTGGAGGAACCCAGGCGAAGCGAACGTGAGCGAGGCGAGAAAAAAAGCGAGAAAAAGCGAAAAAGCGAAGAAGCGAAAAAAGCGAAGAAGCAATCGCTTTTGTTATGCGAGGCGAAATATTTTATTTTTAATTTAGACCGTAGGATTGGGCGATTGCAAAAAAAATTTTAAGATGTTAATGTACCGAATTATTCCCTTATCCTATAAATAAAATTCCTAACCTAATTTTGTTTATTTTTTCACAGATAGCTTCAATCGGTGCTTCAATCGGTGCTGCCTGCTACACGATCGATCGGTGCTGCTCTCCACTGCTTCGATCGATGCTGCTTCGATCAGTGCTGCTCTCCACTGCTACACGATCGATCGGTGCTCCTCTCCACTGCTACACGACCGATTTGGTGCTGCTCTCCATTGCTGCTCTCCACTGCTACACGATCGGTACTGTTCTCCAGTGCTACACTCCAAGGCTTCGAGTTTTCGCTACTTGTACACCATTGTTGTTGCTGGACTGAGGGTTTGGAGGGCTGGTCTGGACTGTGGAGGTTAGTCTCTTCTTCTTCTCTCTTCAATTTTTTTTTCTTCTGTCTTCTGCTCCTTCATCGATTCTGGTTTTTTTTTTTTTTTTTTTTTTTCTTGATCTGATTCTACCCTATCCTGCTCTAATTCTACCCTATTTTGCTCCGATTGTGCTTCTTTTTTTTTTTCATTATGCGTCTGTTTTTTTTTTTTTTTTTTTGCTTTTTCCTTATGTTGCTGTCCAAACTCCATTCTAAGGAGTTGCTGGAATGCTATTATTCGTAGTTGTACGTATGTTACATACCGATATGTACCTAGTTTTGTTATTGTTGCTAGATAAACAAGACTTATTGTAATGCAGCTATTTGGTTGGTAACACCTCTCTTCAATTAATACTTCTAAAAGACTTATTGTAATGCAGCTAGATAAACAAGACTTATTGTAATGCATTGCTTGAAATATTATTCACACAGATATATGTGAACTTCCAGCACTACAACATGCTAATTGATGTCTTTGTATAACCAATCTTTGCTCTCATTTATTCACAGCTGATTTTAAAGGCCTCTTGTGACTTAACAAACAAATCATGCATCTTATTGGTAATAATATGGTCGGAGACTGCATAAAAATTATACAAACAAATGAAAATGCAAGACTTAATGCATTCAGTACAAGTTAAATTGTTTACATGTTAAATATGAAATTGTTTACAACGTAATGCTTCTGGTTTTTTTTTTTTTTGTGTTGTTGTCCTGATTCTGCTTCTGTCCAGTCAATATGAAATTGCTCCTGTGCTGCTTCAATTTTTTTTTTCCTCAGTCGTCTGTTTTTTTTTTGTTGTTGCATTCTACTGCTGTCCTGATTCTGCTTCTTTTGTTGTCCTGTCCTGTCAATATAAAATTGTTTACAACTGATATAAAATGTGATTCAGTACATGTGAATGTGTTTTGTTCCTTTGATTGTAGTGTGATAGTGTTATTCATAAATGGCATCGTCGTCCGAAGGGAACAAAAAAGATCCGGCATGGAAATATGCACACTTGGTAAATCCTCAAAACACAAACAAGTTCAAATGCAATTTTTGTGGAAAAGAGTCAAATGGAGGTGTCTATCGGGTCAAGCAACACCTAGCAGGGAACTCTACGAGTGTTATTACTTGTCCAAAATGCCCTGCTCATGTTAGGGAGGAGATTAGAGAATACATGGCTAAAAAAAAGGAAGAGAAGAATCTAATGAACATGGTTTCCGACTTTGATGAGATGCCTAATGACTTGGAGGAGGATGAAGATGATATTGTAGAGATTGTTGCGAATCGTAAAAGATCCATGACTAGTTCTAGTCAAGGTTCTACACAAGCCACATCGAGACCAAAAAAACCAAGACAAAAAGGGCCTATGGATGTATACTTCACCCCTGATCCGAATGTTGTGGTGCAAAATCGAAAGACCAAGGGGAGACAAACGAATATTGATGTCAGCGATCCTTTTAGAAAGGAAATGAGAGAAAGAGCCATCACAACTTTTGCCCGATGGATGTATGACACGGGAATTCCCTTTAATGTTGTGAACTATGAAAGTTTTGCAGCAATGGTTGAAACTTTTGGACAATATGGTCCTGGTTTGAAACCCCCTTCTTACCATGAGGTTCGGGTCCCATTGCTCAACAAAGAAGTAGGGCATATAAAGTCATTGATGAAAGATCACCAAGAGGATTGGGCAAAATATGGATGTTCCATAATGGCCGATGGATGGACTGACAAGAGAGGGAGAACCTTGATTAATTTCTTAGTGAATTGTCCAAAAGGGACCATGTTCTTTGAATCTGTTGATACTTCTGCATACTCAAAGGATGAGCAAAAAATGTTTGAATTGCTTGATAATTTTGTAGAGCGTATTGGTGAAGCTAATGTGATTCAAATTGTCACTGATAATGCGGCAGCAAATGTGTTAGCAGGTATGAGCTTCTTGAAAAAAAAAAAAAAGATAACTACTTGTTATATTGAATTTTTTTTATGCACACTAGTTGGTAAAAAAATCTTTATTTAATAGGTAAGTTTTTGGAGGCAAAACGACCAAATCTATATTGGACGCCATGTGCTGCCCACTACTTGGACTTGGTATTGGAAGATATCTTCAAATTGCCAAACTTCAAGAGAACATTTGAAAGAGGAATAGCATTACACGGTTATATTTATAACCGTCCAACTCTGTTGAATATGATGAGACGATTTACCCAGTCAAGGGAGTTGATTAAGCCCGCAAAAACTAGATTTGCTACGGCTTTTCTTACGCTAACAAGGATCAACCAACAAAAAGGTAACTTGAGAAAAATGTTCACTTCAGAGGAATGGACTACAAGCAAATGGGCAAAAGAACAACAAGGCAAAAGGACAGCACAAATTATTTTAATGCCTTCATTTTGGAGTAATGTTGTCTACTCTCTTAAGCTTACTGGCCCTCTTGTCCGTGTGCTTCGATTGGTTGATGGTGAGAAAAAGCCTCCCATGGGGTACATTTATGAAGCTATGGACCGGGCTAAAGAAGCGATTGCTAATGCTTTTAATGGCAATGAAGAGAAGTACAAACACATATTTGAAATCATTGACCGAAGGTGGGAAGTTCAATTGCATCGGCCTTTGCATGCAGCTGGGTATTTTTTGAACCCAGAGTTTTTCTATTCCAATCCAGAGGTTGAGAAAGATCAAGAAGTCATGAATGGCCTATATAAATGTTTGGAAAAGTTGGTCTCAAATCCTGCGATACAAGATAAAATTGGTCAAGAGTTGAGTATTTACATGAAAGGTGAAAACCTCTTTAAGTTGCCCATGGCGGTTAGACAAAGAACAACTAGGGCACCAGGTAATCTATGTTATCCCACAAGCTTATTTCATTATCATTGCTTAAATATGTTAGTTAATTAATTGTTATTCATTATTCACAGCTGATTGGTGGAGTGCATATGGGTCTGCAACTCCAAATTTGCAAACCTTTGCAAAAAAAGTTTTAAACCTTACTTGTAGTGCATCCGGTTGTGAGCGAAATTGGAGTGTGTTTGAGCATGTAAGTATCATCCTCAAACCTCTTCAATTACATTTTTTTGTAATCTTATTATAAATTTTAATGTATTGTTAATAAATTATTGCAGATACACACCAAAAAAAGAAATAGACTAGCTCAATCCCGTCTCAATGATTTGGTGTTTGTTAAGTATAATAGAGCTTTGAGGCGCCGATATGATTCTCGTGACACAATTGATCCAATATCTTTGAAGGATATTGATGATAGCAATGAGTGGTTGATTGGGAGAATGGATGCAGACACAGATGAAGATAATGAGCTTGTGTTTGGTGATGATACTTTGACTTGGGGCGAAGTCGCTCGAGCTTCTGCAGTTACGGAAAGTAGCCAACGGACTAGATCAATACCATCTACTAGGGTAACACCAAGGTTTACAAGATCGACGACTGGACTCACAGATGAGGAAGACATAATTTCAGATGAGGCAGAGGAGGAGGATACTGAGGGATATGAATCTAAGGATAATGAAGAAGATGATTTCTTTAGTGATGAGGATTGATTTCTAAGTCCTTGAGATATTTTCTTTAGTTGCTTGAATTATGTGTCTTATGTTTTTAAATATTAGGATTTGGGATATTATTAGTATTTGTATGAATTTAAATGTTTAAACTATGACTGTTATTAAGATTTGCAATATTATTAGTGTTTATTTTAATTTAAATGTTTATGGTTTTACTTTAAATGTTTATGGTTTTACTTGTATTTAAATATTTAGTATATATAAAATTAAAACTTTGATGTGTATAAGTAATTACACTAAAATATTTATTTATTTTTTTAACTGCTCGCTTCGCTTTGGTAAATCGTTTCGCTTCGCTTCTCGCTTCTCGCCTAGGCGTTAAGAGCCTTGGTCGCTTCGGTTCGCTTAACGCCTTAAATAACACTGATTTGACCTAATACACTCTAATATTTGGGGACCTTCACCTATTACTGCTCTGTCAGCCTGTCAGGTGCCCGATATTATGTTACAATTATAGATGACCATACTCGTTATACTTGAGTATACCTTTTGCATAGCAAATCAGATGTACTTCCAGTTATCACTTAGTTTCTACAGATGATTAAGACACAATTCGATGTCATTGTTCGAGCTCTTCATTCGGATAATGCCAAAGAATGTGTCTAATGCCTTAGTATTTCACCTTTCTTCTTAGTGTATCCTTCAGCAGCTCACCTGAGAAAAATAAAGTTATTAAAGAAAAAATAAGAGTCTAATAGGGATGGTACATAATATACTTAAAGGTATAGAGGTGCTTAAGTCTTATTGGCATTTTATAATTCTGACTTCTATCTTCCGGTGCAATTGCACACCAAGTCATGTTATTCAGCATAGGACTACCTTACAAGTCTTATTTCTTGAGTGGACACTTTTTCTGAGCCCTCCTCGGGTCTTTGGTTGTACATATTTTGTTCAAGATCGGTCTCCCACTCGTCGTTAGCTTGATGATATAACTATTCATTGTGTCTTTGTGGGCTGCTATCAGCGGTCTAAGGGTTATCGGTGTTATGATCCAATCTAGTGTCGCATGTATCACAGTCTAGATATTACCTTTCTTGAACATGTACCTTATTTTTCTACTTCTAGTCTCATGTCTGCATCACCAGTTGACGATACTCCATTTGACTTTACCTTACCACCGGAGCCACTAGTCATTGTCACTACAGAGTCACCAATTACACATGATATCCCAGTCTCTCCTATTTTGAAGGTTTATGTTCGCCACCCCCACTCTCATCACCCTGCTGATGTCCCCTCTACTTCGGGTAATACAAGTAATATTTCTCAGTTAACTGAACATATTATTGAGCCTGTTGTCAGAACTTATGAGACCAATGTTATTTAAGGCGTAAACCGAACCGAAGCGAGCAAGGCTCCTAAAGCCTAAGCGAGAAGCAAGAAACGAACAGTTAAAAAAA